AGAAAAACCAAAAAAAAAAAAAAAAAAAAATCACAAAGGGCAGACTGTGTCAGCTGAAGTGACAGGGGATAGACGGGAAAATAACTCTTGAGAGAACCTCTTGCACAGAGGACCTGGTGAAAGCTCCAAGAAATGGCAAAAAAGGGTGCAAGGTAAAGACGATAGGTCCTCCTGAGCCCCGAATAATGCTATTGATTGACCTGGTCCTACATGTTTTATTATTCACAGTTAAAAAAATTTGTGGTTTCAAAAGCCAAATGCAAACCTGGCCCTCTACTTCACGCATAAGTAACCACCATCCAGTACCCCCAAGAAAAGCCTAAAAGCCTAAAACTAAAGCGCATGGAACCGACAAGAAGAAACTAAAGATTGGCAAAGTGCTACAGATTTGAAACAGCTGCTTTATACTAGGAAGGAAAAGGAGCTCATCAAAAGCTAAACTTTTTTAATGGAAGGGACAGAAGTGTGAAGCAATTTTATGGTCCAGAACCAAACTTCTAGGTAACTCAGGCTCAGTGCGGTTCTGACTGGCACTTTATCCGCACCACTTCTACCAACACAGGCTTCTGAGAACCATCAGAGGAAGCCCTGCAGCAATGTCTGTATTTGGGCAGCAAGCCTCTCGCTGCGTAGTAAGGTGGCACTGAGCAGACCACAGAAACAACCCCAGAGGGGTAAAATGTCAGCGTTTTACCCAGACAACTGTAGTCTGTGCAGGACAGAACCTGGAACTGCCACAAAGACAAGTGGGACCTAAGGTCGGACAAAAACATTCGAAGAGAACGCTGGAAAATGGTAGAAGTTTGTGGGGCAACGTAGTAAGATATAAGATAATTCAAATTAATGACTATGTTCTCAAGTCAAAAAAGAGAAACACATAAAACTCTCAACCTTTTGGTCCTCCCACCAAACAGGTCAATTTCTAACTGTGTAGGTCCTAACAACCTAGGCAAGCAGGTGGAGGCAGAAATGCTAAGAGGTGAGCAAGTCTGGGGAACTGTACTGTCCCTGCAACTCCAGAGCCTCCGCAAGGACAAGTGGCACCAGAGATCAAAGGAGGAGAACATTCAATAGAATACTAGAAGGATTACAGGCCTGAGACAAACCCACTGAAGTATGGTAATTATTACGCAGACAGACAGGGAGAAAGGAATTTTTCCCAAGGAGTGAGATACTCTACAATGATATACACAAAACTATATAGCAATATAAAGGTATGACAGATACATAAAGAAAACTTCCCATATGTATAAGACTAGAAAAGCAATAAATAGGTCCAAAGTCATATCATGTATCACAAGCAATCAAGAATCTGATTTTTAAAATGTCTACACAAACATATACACACCTACCATTGAGATTACAAAACAAAATATATACAATTTAATAAAAAGCCACCGATTACACATTTCAAACCAGGGCCCCCTGAACACAGCCAACGTAAGCTCGGAGAATTCCCTGATCCCTCACTGAAGAGGGAGACGAAAGAAAGCCATTCTTACAAGGACAACGGACCAATCAGTACCAAGCTGTGTCCACTGCCCTCTGCTGGAAATGCGACCCAGACACTCTGCAATCCCCATTGTATAGATAAACTGGAATAAAAGACATAATAGTCAAGGAAGCTAGGAGAAAAACAGAATAAAAATTTCATTCCCAGTATTATTTTGGAATGCTAATGGAAATTGTCTTATGTGACACAATTTTAAGGGGACTTTCTCACAGTGGCTTTATTTAAGAATGCTAAATGTCATACAGCAGTCTCCTTACTTCAGCGTCAGCACATTCTGAAAGAAGTTCCCAGGCACTCAAGTGGAAAGAAATGCAGAGCACAGTATTCCCTGGGCAGGCCCAGAGGAGGCTCTTGAGGTGACCAGGGAAGGCAGGGACAGGGAGCAAGTGTCCTAGAGCCTGGAATCCAAGCTCCAGGCAGCTTTCTGGAGCCATGCAGCATCCAGGATGTGTGCTAAAATGCAGCAGCCCTACTTACAGGGGTGGAACGTACCCTGCTACCTCCAGCTGTGCGACCCAGGCTTCGAGAGGCTCCAGGCAAAGTCGTGCAAAACACTGGGCTTTCCTGCCATTCTTACTGGCGCTCAGGTCTTCCTGCTTCACAGTGAGCTCCACTTGAGGGCTAATCAAACCTCAGCTCAAGTCATCCCACACTCACAATGAAACAGCACAGAACTGGTTCAGGAAAAAATTCTGTGCAAGCCAAAGCTGTTTAAAGAGCTGATCACAACTATCTCCTAACAAAAGCAAAAGAGTCTCGTATTCACTCTAATCTAGAGGCCTTAGCACTTCTGGAAAGGAAGATGCTTTGTTCCTCAGTGTTCAGGAATTTCCTAGTATGACTCAACGGTGCACTGGGTTATGTCTCTCGTGATTCACAAGGACCTAAATTTCCTCTGAAGTGCCAAGTACCTGCCCCTCAAAAGTCATTTTGAAATTCTGATATGAAGGTGGGTGTGATGGTACATGCCTGTGATCCCCAGCACTAGGGAGACTACCCAAAAAAGAAAAAAAAAAAAAAAAGAAAAAAAAAACCTGGTATGTGATTGCCTCAAAAGCTTATTTGGTTTTCAATAAAGATGCAAAATCACATACACCATTGTCACACGTAAGGAAGATTCCAAAATGGAATTCTGGCCCAGTATGGTAGAATACACCTGTAATCCCAGCACCTGGGAGGCTGAGGCAGGGGGATTGCTGCAGCCTGGGCTACACAGTGAGCTCAAGGCTATCCTGAAATGCAATGAGACTGCCTCAAAAAAAAAAAAAAAAAAAAAAAAAAAAAAGAACGGTGCTTTGGTGGCTCCCACACAGGTCAGGTTCTCCAGATGGGCATGATTTCCCTAAGCAAACCTTGCTTCCCATCTCCCACATTAAGGAAGATCTTCTTTACTAATCAACCCCTGCTCACTAGAGACCAGAAGCCCCAGTGGGTGGGATGTTCAGCTCCAAAGGTAGATAGGCTGCAGAGGCACGGGGCAAACTGCTTAAAAGATAAAAAAAAGACTTGTGGTCAATAGACATGTGGAAGAGTCCCACCCACCCAATACAGAAGTTATAGTTTGAGAATCTGTACCCGGGAGAAAACTGGCCCTAAGTCACCCCCAAGTCACCCAGGACAGCTGTACAAAGTGGCTCCAGAAACTCCAGGCTTCAATACAGGACTTTAAAAAATGAGAAGTATATGGAGTCTGATGAGATGAAGCTGGGGAAGAGTTAAGAACCGAAACCCAGCGCCACCCTCAGACAGGGCCTGGCTTTCCGCATGCACCCACCGCCACGGCCCAGCACAGGGAGAGCACGGAGCGGGCACTGTGACTTCCATTAATACTTCCAAGAAATTTTTTAGAAGGGAAAGGAAAAAAAATTCAAAAAAGGTGGCTCTTGGGAAAAAGAAAGTCGTGAAATGTAATACCAGAAATGTTTTGCTTACCAGAAACCGTAGCTTGCTTCCCCCTGCCTTGAGTTTACACCTGCCGCCTCCTTTCCTAAAGATTCACTTCTCCTCTAGCACCAATGTACGGTAAGCACTGGAGAACGTGACAGAGCACTGGACACAGAAGAGCTTACCCCCAACGAGAGGTGGCAGGAAGGGTGACTTAGGAGAAAGTTCTCAAAGTACTCCCTCTCCCTCCAGTCTCAACACAAAGCAACCCCAAGCAGGAGGCTGGAGGCCTAGTTCCCAAGCAGCAATGTCACAGCTCAGCGTCGTTAGGCCCCGATTGTCTCTAAGTTACAACCCTTTCCTCAGTCTCCTACAACACACACACCCCCTCCAAAGGCCCCCCCAGCCTTCAGGTACAATTGAGGTCTGACTGGTTTTAGCCCTGGGCAACGGAAGTGGGGTACACTTCCAAAGCAGAGGTGATGAGTGCAAGATTAAAATAAAAAGCAACAGACTGGTTGTTAAAACATTAAAAACTGGAGCCACTCGAGGACAGGGTCAGCCAGGAAGCCTAATTCTCACAAGCTTTATCCCTTTAAGAGAAAGGCTTTTAAGAGATTACATCAAAACGAGGAAAATGTCTTCTCCCTAACTGCAAGGCGCACAGGGAGGCTGAAAGAGCGGCAGAGCCGAGGGGTGGAGTCGAGGGCGCGGAGAGGGAGGCGATTACATCACCACTCACGGCGGCCCTCCCTCCACCAAGGGCGGGGGCGGCCCCCAGCTCAAGATGGCAAAGGGAGAGAAAACAACAAAGGAGGAGGCCATTTTGTAGAGACGAGGACTCAACTCAAAAAGCGCTCGGCAGGGCTCTGCCGGTAGCTACAATTACATTACAAAACACTTCTAAAAAGAAAGGAAAAAGGAAAAAAGCGAAGCCCGCCCCCATGCTGCATAATCTGACTTATTCTGAATTCGCGTAAAGAAAATAAAAGCAATTAAAGTATCTCCAGAACCATTTTCTACGGGGAAGAATTGAATTGCAACTGAAGTTCAATTGCTACCATCGACCACCCCCATCCACCCTACACAGGGAAGGGGGAGGACTTGGCCCCCCCTTAACAAATAGGGTTGAGATGGGAGGACAAGAGAAAAACGGGTCAAGACACAACCTGCAACGCCGCTTGGAAGACAAAGGACAAGGAAAGTCGCCATATTGAAGCAGGGAAGAAAAAATTCCTTTTAACGACACAAATCTTTTAGAAAGCTAGCATTCAATTGCACTAAATGGCTTTTAAAATTATATTCCTGAATTCCACATTTCCCAACCTTTCCGCCCTCTATTTTAACTATACCCCCAACCATAAAAGTATCAAGTTAAAATGTTAATCACTTTGCTTTTAAATAACCTATGCAATCTGCAACAATTACAAGACATTACCTCCCGATTATCTTGTTATGTATTGATATATTTTGTCCTAAATTACGTGTCTTGCAATCTTTATTCCTAGATTGCCACCTTTTAACACACAATATACCCCAATCAAATTACATTACAACTGAGAGGATTTAACAATTATTTAAAAGCCATAGCCAGCTATTACTTTTCTCTGCCCATCTCCTTACCCTGCAATCTTTATGTACAGATTGCTTATTAATCTGGCAAATTGAAAGGCGCCCTGCTTGTCTCACACACAAAGAAGTGGGACTTCTGGGCCACAAGAGCCACCATCTTTTGTATGTGAGCTCATTAACCCTTTTGAAGACTGCTGCTACCCAGAGGAAGGTAACCATTCCTCCTTATACAAAGCAAACACATGCTTTGGCAGTCTGGAAATTGCCTGGATTACCAAGGGTTAACCATCAAAATTCTCACTTGCTGGCCCTCCCTGCACCCTCTCCTTGCCTGCAGCGTAGCAGGGAAGAGGTAGGTGGTAGGGGAGAGAAAACAAGACTGTTTAGACCCAAAGGCCCTTTTTAATGGAGATCAAGTGACCGGATTGGTCCTTCTCCAGCTCTATATTTGTTCTATGGTCTCATTTCTTCCTCTCATTATTTTTGGTTTCACAACGGGAAACGTTGATTTCTTGTTGCAAGGCTGGTTTTTGAAAATTCGACACTTACTATCCAATTTTTTTGCGACGTCAGCACCTCGGGCTCAGGGGGGGAGGGGGCAAAATTTGGAGGAAAAAAATAAAACAACCAACCAGGACCCAAAACTCAATGATTTAGGGGGCCTTATTGGATCAAAAAGTCTCTTAAAAAAGAAAGGCCAACTCAGTATTCATTTCCCCCCCACCCGACTCCATTTAGGGAGGGGGGTCGTAGAAAAAAATTCTGAGTGGATGCAAAAAAGTAAACGCTGGAGGAGTGAAATTGGGCTGGGTTTGGGAAGGGAGGTGGTTGATTGTTTTTGAAGTATGTGGTGACGGTCCTTCGGCCACAGATCTCAAGTCCCAAGCAGCGTGGGCTGGTGGGGTGGGCAAGACAGGTGGGCAAGGGCAGAAGACACAAGTGGGTGGGCTGGTGGCTGCGCTTTTCCCTTTCCCCCCTCTGGATCCTTTCAAGGGCTTAGATGTTGTTGCGGCTCGTTTCTGTTTTCCTCGTGGCCGGCCTGTCTTTCTCCGAGAAAATTCAAACCTGGGGTAGAAGGAACACAAGGGAGAAAGATACAATCAGTACGGGTCGCCTGCTTTTACAACACTCCACGCTACCGATTTTTCCGTCCCCAAACGCTTCCGTGCCCCACTTCGAACACAGCCGCTTTAAACAAATCGTGGCTCCCATCCCGATCCTGTCCTGTCCGGCTTCCCAGCCCAATGCGCTACGCCAAGATAAGAAAAAAATGCCCTTACACGGTAAGCCTAAGGACCCACAAACTTACCTCTAACCGAACTCCAGAATGGCGGCTGCCCGAGCGGGCCGAGTGTTTTATAGCCGGACGCCGCCCTATTCGTCCTAACGTACTGGCGAAACGCCCTTGTCGCGAGATATTGTGCGCGAGGCGTGACCTTATTGGTCGACCGGGAGGACAACGCGCCAAAGGATTGGCTAGCCTTCGGACAGCCCCTTCCCCACCCCCGCTTCCACCTCCTTCTTGATCCGCGCGACGCGTACGCGTGACAGCGCCCTAGCACCGCCCTTTCCTCTCCTTCCACCACTTCCGTCCTACGAACGTTTCTCACCCTGGATTGGTAGAAACGTCCGAACGCATGCGCAGTGAGAGGGTCCCGCTTAAAAACGCCCTCAAAATTGCTTCTAAGGCAAATTATAAGGATGGAATCTAAGAGCCATAGTGACTGGTGCAGAAAAAACACAATTTTGAAGGCTAATTCTATTGTGACGCAGTTGAAATTAGCTTCTGACCACGCCCCCTTCGACGCTTACGTTCTGACGCCAACGCGCGGCCGCCTTCCGCACTGCGGACGCCTCTGCTCTACCCGAGTCAGTTTCCGGGAGCATGCGCAAACCCCCGTACGTCAAGATGGCGGCCTCCATATTGCACACGCTGGTGAGGCGGTATCCTACCGTTTCGCCCTTCAGAGGTATCAGCGGAGTTCAGGTAACTCCTTTTGGAAGGCATTCTGAAAAAACCTCGACCTAGTTATACTTTCTGTAAGTCTTCGTTTTTTCCTTCCCGCGTGCTTGTGCCTAACTGGGCAGGCAGCACTTACGTCCAGGACCACCACTCTCTGGCCGATCCTGCGCGACTGTTCTAATCCTGAGTTGATGGCTAAAAGATACTGCTGGGTGTCATCCTCTCCCCGGAAAACCAAGTTAAAAGTAGCTAGGCAGGGGCTGGGGATTTAGCTTAGCAGCACAGCGCCTGCCTGGCAAGCGCAACGTAGTGAGTTCGATTCCCGGTACTGGAAAAAAAAAAAATTAAAAAAACCCCACCCCCCAAAAAAGTAACTATGCAGAGTAAGTAGGTGGAGGTAGTATCCATTTGGGTGTGCACAACCAGATCTTAAGGTAGTGTCACATTTGTGACGGCCAGTGTCTTGGAGTTGGAGGACCCTAATTTCTTCTAACTTTGCTATCTGTCACCCAGTAAAGCCAAGAGACACTCTCAGGACCTAGGAACCCGCTTTTCAGCGTTATCTCTAAACCTGTTTCTTATCAAAGCACTAGGAGAGCTTAATTCTGCCCTTTGAATTGAGGTTTTACTCATCCCCCGGAGAGCCTTGGTAGGTCAGGGTAGGGCAGATTCGTGGTGGGGCAAGGTGAGACAGTGGCAGCGGGACAAAGCTGCCACTCCCGAAGGGGGCATTTGAGAGGGGTCACAGAGGTCACCATAGAGTTAATGACCGCCCTGGAAGCTTTAAAGCTGGCGTTAGGACTCGAGTTTGTTTTGCTGTGTGGTGTGTTGGCCTTCCAAATTCTTGTAAAACTGGGTAACTCAGGGACTTGGGATTCGGTCGAGTCGGATGCTCACCTGCCCTGTTTACCCCTCGAACCATACGTCTTACTTCAAGGGACTAAATACATTCTTTTCCTTCTTCCACGGAACTCAATTCATTCCCCAAAACACATAAGTGCCTTTAGGTGCTACGTTTTAAAATTGTTTTAAATAAGATTGCTTCCCAGATACCTATCCTCATTACCTCTTTGCATTAGCCTCTTAAACCAGGCGTGGTAGCTGGGCGTGGTAGTGCACGCCTGTAATCCCAGCACTCAGGAGGCTGAGGCAGGAGGGCATGGTAGTGCACGCCTGTAATCCCAGCACTCAGGAGGCTGAGGCAGGAGGGCGTGGTAGTGCACGCCTGTAATCCCAGCACTCAGGAGGTTGAGGCAGGAGGGCGTGGTAGTGCACGCCTGTAATCCCAGCACTCAGGAGGCTGAGGCAGGATGATTGTTGCAAGTTCGAGACCAGCCTGGGCTATGAAATGAGCTCAAGGCCAGCCTGAATTGCATAGTGAGACCGTGCCTCAAAAAGACAAAAAAAAAAAAAAAAAAAAAATTAAATTAAATAAGCCAGGCATAGCGGCACACACCTGTAACTCTAACACTTAGGAGGCTGAGGCAGGAGGATCACTGTGAGTTGGAGGCCACCCTGGGTTACACAGTGAATTCAAGGCCAGACTGAACAACATAGTGAGACCCTTTCTCAAAACAAACAAAAAACAAAACAGCTAAACATTAGCCTCTGTTTTAGGATCCAGTTGGGCATAGGGAGTGTTGATTTATGTCAGATTGCAATGAAAATTCTACCTTCCATATATATTCCTGCTAAATTACATTAACACTGTGAACATATATTCCTCCTTCCCCAAAGAATAAGCAAATCAATTGAGTCCTTTCCTTGAAATCACTGTCTCATTTTTCCCCTCCTTTATAGGTTTCCCTCCAGACTTTTTGCACCAAAGCCCCTCCTGGAAAAGATACTTTGCCCCCAGCTCCTGTTTCTCCTTATGAGAGTGAACCCTGGAAATACCTGGACTCAGAAGGTACTGGGGGAAGCGGGTCAGGTGGGGCCTGAGGTAATGATACTCACCCCAGCAACAACTTGTCTGGCCTTTCGTTTCGTTTCAGAATACCAGAGCCGCTATGGTTCTCGCCCTGTCTGGGCTGACTACCGCCGCAACCACAAAGGCGGTGTTCCCCCGCAGCGTACTCGGAGGACGTGCATTGTGAGTCCCTGAGCACTGCACGCAGAGCTGGGAGAGGCCTTAGGGAGGGGCGAGAATTCGCTTTGACAGGCCTGGGGCATCTCCAACTCCAGGTTCTCTTTTCTGCAGCGTAAGAATAAAGTTGCTGGGAATCCCTGTCCCATCTGCCGGGATCACAAGTTGCACGTGGACTTTAGGGTAAGAAGAATCTCTTATCCAGAACAAGGTTTGGAGCCTCTTTGCTCTAGGCACCTATACTTCCTCACACCCTGCCTCTCGACAGCCCGTTTTGTAGTGAATGTTTCTGGCAATATAAAACATTTTTCTCTGTAGCCTTTTGCCTTCTATTATGGATTGCACTGAAAAGGTTTGTCCCATGTCCATGAGACATATAGTTGGCAGGTTAAAAAAAAAAAAAATGCGTGCTTTTTGTTTGTTTGTTTTGGTTTTTTTGAGACAAGATCTTGTTAGGTCGTTCAGGCTGGCCTCAAACTCCTGGTGATCCTCCTGCCTCAGCCTCCCAAATGCTGGAGTTATAGGTACGTGCCACTACCCTTAGCAAAAAAATTCCTTTTTTTTTTTGTCTTTTTGAGACAAAGTTTTACTATGCAGTTCGGGCTGGCTTTGAACTCTACGCTGTTGTCTTTCTGTGGTTTTCTTTATTTCCTGGGCATGTCTTCTGGGTGTGCTAGGTTTTGAGTCTAGAGATGAGAGATAGGAAGCTTAGTGTAAAATCTAAGGGGTTGAGCTGGGCATGGTGGCACATGCCTGTAATCCCAGCACTCAGGAGGCTGAGGCAGGAGGATTGTTGGGAGTTTGAGACCATCCTGAGCTACAAAGTGTATTCAAGGCCAGCCCGAACTGCATACTGAGTCCCTGCCTCAAAAAAAAAAAAAAAAAAAAAAAAAAAAAATCTAGTGGGCTGTTTTTAAAAGAGCCTTTAACAGTGAAAAGGATTGGACTTACTCTTTAAATTGAAATCAAAGCATAAAAAATGAGAATACTTTTCTGAGATGGCAGTGAAGATTAGTAGAAGCTGTGAGGGGGGCATTTCAGGAGCGGAGGCCATGTGTGCATCAGGGTGAGGGTGAGGGTGAGGGTGTGTGCAGCCCTGGCAGCCCTTCTGACACAGGTGGAGGGGCCGTGCAGACGCCTTCCTGGGTTCGTCTGTGTACAGTGGGCTAGAAGGAGTATACCGAGCACGTAACCGAGATGACTGCCTGCCAGCCACTCCACAGACACACGTGCTCTTTCCTCGCTCTGACTTCCCGTGACTGATTTGTTAGCTGAGAGTCATTCCACGCAGTCAAAACTGTGAAGTTGTTCTTAGTCGGTCTATAAACCCTTCAGCGTGGTGCAGGGTTTTAGTCACTCACACATAGTGGAAGAGTACCTAGTCCTGCACCCAAGTGCAGGATGTGTGTGAGCATGGCTGACGGCCCATGAACTGACGGGGTGACCTGGGTGGAGGAGGAGGAGGCGGCGCGGATCCGGGAAAACCGGCGGGGGAAGGGCATGTGGACTAGGTGGGATCGAACAGGTGGCTCCAGAGGTCTGGCTGCTGGGCCCGGCCTCTCCTTGAGTTGCTCCACTGTTCTCTCCCGCAGAATGTGAAGCTCTTGGAACAGTTTGTGTGTGCCCACACGGGCATCATCTTCCATGCCCCCTACACAGGTGAGCCCTGCGTCCCTGTCACTCCCTGCTTGAGTCATTGCATGCGGGCGTTTGGTGGGTGACGTACACAGTGTGGTTGAACCTTTTGGAAATCATAGGGGAGGTGGCCATGCCGAAGCTGTTACGTGTGGAAAAAAGATGCAGACAAGCACCTCTGTGAACAGGGTCAGTGCAGTTCCTAAAAGGGTAAATGGTGCGGAGTGCTGTGGTGCATGACTGTAATCCCAGCACTTGAGAGGCTGAGGCAGGAGGACTGCCAGGAGTTGGAGGCCAGCCTGGGCTACAAAGTGAGTTAGTTCAAGGCCAACCTGGACTACGTAGTGAGATCCTCCCCAAAAAACAGAACAACAACAAGCTTGTTCTTTTCTGTCTACAGCTGCTCCCAGTGACAGTGTCACATTTAGTCTTACGGTCTCTACAGAAAAATTTTGCCAGCACCTGTTTGCAAGCAAGATAAACTTAATTACTTTTGGTTTATTGAAAGGAACTGTTAATGTGTAATTGTTTGATCAATCCTGCATGCCTGTATCTGGTTATATGTGCAACCATTTTGAAGATAACATTATGTAACATAACAGCCATTGTTAATATCAAGCAAGATAAACTTGCAAACAATGGTCTGTGCTCCATGACAGCGTGGTCAGTGTTCAGTTTGTCCAGGTGTTTCCCACCATGCTGTGCTGCACTCTCAGGCTGCCTTCCCCGGGTGGGAGGCTGTTTCCTCCTTCCTGGAGCTCCCCCTCAGCCCTCCTCACACTTGCCTGTGATTATGTTCTGCCCCCCACCCCTCTTTTGTACTGGGAATCAAACTCAGGACCTTGCACTTGCCAGGCAGGTGCTGTGCCGCTGAGCTACATCCCTGGTTTTTTCTGTTTTTTTGAGACAGGGTCTGTGTAGCCCAGGCTGGCCTTGAACTTGGGGCAGTCTTCCTGCCTCAGCCTTCTGAGTGTTGGGACGACAGGCATGCACCATGACACCCTGCTCTGCCTCCTTTCTCGAAGCCTTTACCATTAGATGATTTTTCTGTAGTGGCCGAGGCCCTAAGTCCGCATCCTAGCTCGAGGAGAGAGGGGGAGGGCCGTCCTCTTTCAGCAGAGGAGGTAATCGAGCCCGTGAAAGGGTCATCAGGAAACCTGGGCCCTCCACATCCAGCCCTGTCATCACGTAGAAGCAGCTGTGCTTTTTGAGTCACTGCGTCTTGGCAGTGCACACCTGGCTCTCTCTCTGCAGGGGTTTGTATGAAGCAGCACAAGAGGTTGACTCAGGCCATCCAGAAAGCCAGGGAGCATGGTGAGTGCCGGGGAGGACAGTGTCGTCAGGCACAGGAAGGGGGTGCAGGTCTGGGTGGGGCCCAGTGTGTACGAGCCCCTCTCCCTGAGACAGTGTTGCCCCCGTGTTCTTTCCCAGATGTCCTTCGGCCTCACTGTCCCTGTCCCGCTGCTGAGTCTGTTGTCATGTGCCTGTCTCGTTGTTCTTTTCTTTCCCTGTCCTCGTGTTGTACGACATGACCCCAGTGCCCTAGCAAGTTCCTAGGCAGATCTTTGTGTACATTTCTGGCCCCGGCTCTGTGGCCCCTCTGCACAGGCCAGTGTGAGGTGCCTCCTCCACTAGAGCAGACCTGGCTCTGAGGCCCTGGGGCAGGGCGCACAGCTTTCCCAGCCGGAGCCTGGCAGGAGGTCACTGGCATCAGCCTGGGCCAGTTGCTCTTGGGCCACATGCAACCTTCCTGAAGGTACCCAGAGGCTCTGGTCCTTCCCTTCATGGGGTTCTTCGTGTTGCCGGCCTTACCCGGACCACCTCTCCTCACCGCTCACCTTGTTTTCCCCAACCTCCCAGGGCTCCTCAGTTACCACATTCCCCAGGTGGAGCCGCGGGACCTCGACTTCGGGACTTCGCATGGAGCCGTGAGTGCCACTCCGCCAGCCCCCAGCCTGCTTTCCGGTGACCCCTGGTACCCTTGGTACAGCTGGAAGCAGCCACCGGAAAGAGAACTGTCCCGGCTTCGCCGGCTCTACCAGGGCCATCTCCGAGAAGAGAGCGGGCCCCCGCCTGAGTCCATGCCCGAGGAGCCCCCTGTGGCCCCAGCTGAGCAGAGCCCCCCAAGTGCTCTGTAGGACTTGGACGCCAAGCAGGGTGGCCAAGGTCTCTGGCAATGGCCGACAGCAGCCCAGGAAACCCTGGACTGTGGAGGGGTAACTCCGTCTGCGGTGGAGGGAGCGCAGGGCCTGTGTGCACACTGAGAACAGATGCGCTTAGCTCTCTGTCTCCGACTTCTGCAGGCTCACTTTCTCCACAATAAAGTTGTGTCTCCCATCTCTGGCTGGCTTTTGCCCTGGGCTTCAGGTGGAAGCCTTCGAGGGTAGGGTGGGTGAGTGGTGGTTGCTGTGTATCGTTTATTTATGCTGGGCGTGGTGGCACAGTTCTATAATCCCAGCACTAGGGAGGCCCAGGCAGGAGGTTTGCTGGGAGGTCGAGGCCAGCCTGGGCTACACAGTGAGTTCAAGGTCAGCCTGAACTGCATAGTGAGACCTTGCCCGAGACCTTCCAGTGCCAGTGCCTTGACAAAGTCAGGACGGGCAGCAGGTACCTGCAAAGCAGGGACTGCATAGCATGGGTGTGCGGCCTCTCCCTGCTCTCTATTAATACAGCTTTCCAGATACTTACTGCACTACTGATCAACGATGGTTGGGAACCTAAAGCATCCCATCTGAAAGTAGTTAAGGAATCAGAGCCCAGGATGAAAGGCACCTCTCCAGGGTTGAAAGGGGAAGTAAAAGCCACCACAGAGATTTGCATCAGTCCCCTACCTCCTGTGTGGCAACGTTTGCCCACCGGAACGGGAGGGGAGTGCTGCACAAACCTCAGTGCGTGGGAAAACATTAGGCGAAGGCCCTGGTGTGCTGGACTGGCGCTAGATGGAGATATTGTGAATGTGGGGCCTGCTGTCCAGTAGACAAGTGAACAGTGCTTCGGAAAATTGTACCTAATCAAGAACCTCTAGTGATTGATCTTCTTGCTTCCTTTTATGTGTTTTAGAAAAGTTGATTTTCTGCTAGGATTGTGGCCAGATGTTCGGTCAACCATTGTCTGAACCTGTAACTAAGATAGAAACCTCGTTGTATCTAATCGGAAACTGTTTAACCTGCCAAATTTCATATATAATTGCAAAAGTAATAAAGTTGTTCTTTTTTTTTTTTTTTTG